CCTTCCATTTTTCAATGTTCTCATAGCATTCCTGCTTCTTTTTCATATTTTTTCTAGATCAGGGATATTTATAGCATGTATTTCAATTTCACTCATGTTATTCTCACACTAGTCTGTAAAAATACATCTTTCATCATTCCCTCACTTCAATATGTCTCAAATAATTTTCATTGCTTTGATATTTAATTCAATTCACCCCACTCTCTTGAATGCTCATTTAGTCTTTTTAACTCAAAACAGTTCTTTATTTTCATCCCAATCACTGACTTTTCTCTGCTTTTTTCAATCTTAGCCATTTCTTGCCTGTCTTCCTAGTTTTTCTCTCTATGCACATGGTACTCTCATGATACTGTTGTCCATTTTTGTGGCAGCAAGCATCCTCTTACTGCATTTTTCCCTGCATCTTTCCATCAAGTATCCTTTTTCTTACTTCCCACTAGCATAACTCCACACAGTTCTGAAGCACTTTGTAACATAATTCTTTTCACTGTGTTCCAAACAGCTTCCACATCCTCTGTTGTTGCCTCTTCCGTTCACTCTGTTAGGAAATTAATCTATCTCTAATATTGTTTTTCACATAGGACACATAATCTCTCTTCCTACAGTTGTTTTATTTTTACTCTCATTCACTTCCTTCCTTTTCTTATATGTCTATTTTTCTCAGGATTCACTCCTGACTATAAATTAAAGGTCAGTCCCATGTTAGGAAGCTCTCTTTATCTTGAGTCCTTCATTAATGCTCTCCATCTTCAAATATAATCAAATCGATAATTCATTTACATTTATATTCTTTCCTTTGCCATGTGCTTGAGCAGAGTTTTGCTTTATTCGTGCATTTGAAATAGATACCTGCCAAACAGCCACAATTCTAATTCATTTTTGGGACTCTGGATGGCCCAATCACTTCTTTTGTATTCCCTCAATTTATTTCACACCTTTCCATTCATATCACCAGGAACATTTTTTTTTCTGCACTGCATCCATTCAGAATCTTGCACAATTTTCTTCCAAATTCATCCCTTGTTCTTCCATTATCATCCTTCGTTGGAACGTAACATGCAACTCTCACCAACTATTCTTACTTTCGTATGCACCCACAAGCTAGATGTTACCAATTCATACTTTCTGACATACATTTTAGCTCCTTCATTCATATGGAAATATTCACCTTCACTTCTCTGTATGTACTCATTTAGTCCACTCCACAAAATCAGATCACCTTCATTCAGATCTATTATATAGACATACTGTATATTATCTAGTTTTCTTTCTTTCATTTCATTTGTTATTTCATGCTGTTTATCATTTATTCTCCTTACATTCTAAGTCAGAACCTTCTATAGGCAGTCCTCATTTAATGAACACAATTGGGATTGGCAACTCAGATGTTAAGTGAAGCAGTTGCTAAGTGAAACCACAACTATGCTTATGATCTTACTTCAGCTTTCCTTTGCTTTACAGACCTGCAAAGGTCATAAATGCGAGGATTGGTCATAAAGTTCCTTTTTTATCACCATAGTAGCTGCAGTTGCTAAATGAGACAGCCACTAAACGAGGAATACCTGTATATGCCATCGTTGTCACCAGATGAACCCACAGATATTGATCTTGGCTGCTTATCTGTCAGCCCCACTAGGTAGTCCAGATCAGAAAATCAGGAAAACCAGATACATTTTATCAAGATTGGCTATAATAACAGAACCTTGCAAGTCTGATTACATTGTACCTCCTCTCCTTATATTCCAGTGAGTCAAGGAGGCATTTGCCTAAGCCATTTCTGAATATTATCACGTTTCCCAGGATTTAAAGAATGTTTCAGCCTCCTTTACCTAAGTAACATTTTTTGCATATTTCTCTCAAGGTCATGTCCCTTACTCTCTACACTATCACAGATTTGATCAATATTTTCACATAATGCTAGAAAACGTATATACTAGGTTACCAGCTTTAGGTGTACCTATGCTATATCCCTCATTCCCTGTTAACAGTAAGAACAGTATCAGTCAATTTTGGCACATTTTGGCCAGCATGTCACAAGTATAACCTAAGCCCATTTTTTTTTCAAGCATGCTAGGGTCCATCATCTAGGGACTGTCTTCCAAGCTAATATACTGTTGTCTGCATAACACTATCCATTAGGTTTATACAGAGTACAGATATACTCAGGTTCCAAAGATTTTTAGCATTTTATACTCAATAGGATGTCCTTATTTCTCCCTTATATTTCCCGTGATTGCAAGAAAATTTCCTGCAGTCTCAAATTGATTATATCCCGCAGTCCTGACCTTTTCAGTGTATTCTTATTCCAAAGGTCATCACTGCCATGTGAAAAATGAATGAATTTTAAATATTCTCAGCATGATAAAAGCATTAAATTTGCTTCCATCTTTTGATCAATAAATGATGTTATTAAGTTGCATACGCCTTTACTTAATTCAGCCTTTCCCAACCTACTGACTTCAAGTATGTTGGACTGCAGCTCTTAATATATTAAGCCTGGCTGTGTGAACTGGTTGCAAATGACAGAATGTATATTCCAACAAATCTGAAGTGGGGCAGGGGGGGTGCCAAGTTAGGGAAAGGCATCCTTATATAAGCTTGTATAGGAGATCATAATAGCTACTGCAAATGGACGATCTTCTCTTGATACATGCCAGTCCCTCATTCTAAAGCTCAACCTACCTCACATTTGATGTTATAAGGAAAAATTGAAAGAGTAAGTGCTATGAATATGGCCTTAACTACCTAAAGGAAAGGCAGGATATAAATCTAATATGTAAAATAAATAATGAATATTAAACACGTATTTTAATATCTTTTGAGCATTGAATCCTATGCTCCATTTATTTCAGTCATGAGAAATAGAAATAATACTTTAAAATGAATTAATAATTAAATATAAATTGGAGAGGAGGAAGAATATTCCTTCTAAATTAACTCAGACAGGTTCAACAGCATGAGTTTTATCTAATCCGAATACCACTGTTTCAGAATAGAAAATGGGGAAATCTAAATGGCAAGGGATGGGTTTGTATATGTGAAATGAATTATTTATCATCTCTACCTTAATAAGATTTAGAACATTCTAAAAATATTTGATTGACTATCAAAAAGAAGAGCATTACAGTTGTGAAACAGGGCAGATATATTCATTTTAATTGAATTAATCTTTTGCTACAGCGAACAATTTAAATGACTCCATTTGTCTAGAACAAGAGTTCTGATATTACTAAATTTCTCAGAGTTTTGGAAAAGATAAACAATATAAATAAAGTAATAAAACCTATGAAACATCATTATAATACATCTGGCTTTCTCTGGGTTTTCTACAAGCTATACAGTAACTCTAGAATATGGCATCAGAAAAGATAATTAGTGAATGTTTGCTGCTTCTGGCATCAGTTCTTGCCCCTTCAGCACTTTTCCGTGGATTTTGTTTCTCCAAAGAGAAGGGAAGATACAAGGATCATGCAGACTTTTGACATTGATTTGGGGAAAGAAGTATGCACAAAGAATTGTTAAAATATAAGGCTTCTAGGAAAAAAGACTGGATTCAAAAAGTTAATAACAAAGTCTTGGCTCTCTTTTGATGTAATAGACCATCTCAACTGGACAGTGTCATCCCCTTCAAGGGCCTGGAAATGACATTTCAGAGATTTGTATAGCAGCAGTAAAATGTTCAGTCTACTAGCCTACCATGATATGAAGGCCCATATCAAATGGCCACCAGTGGAAGTCTCTGAAATTTTGAACTTGATCTCTCATCTGAGAGCAAGAAAGGCTCCTGGTGATGATTTAATCCCTCCTGACCTAATTAAAAAATACCATTAATGGTGGATACTATTCCAGCCATGCTGTATCAATAAAACTGATACATACTGATAAATGTGGCCATGTTTTTAAGTATGGTAATCATAGTCCTTATTTTCAAAAAAGTTAACAGGGATGATCCTGCCATGTATAGGGCTGTCATTTGTTTAATACTATTAGCAAGTTGTATGCCAGACATCTCCAAGGAAATTAAGGGACTGGCTTGAGCAAGAAAATCTGCTGCTCCAGCATCTTGTTGAAAATTACTCCTCTGATACTGTAATCTCTTTATATGCAGTTTCTATTGATCTGAAAGCAACATTTGATTCCATCTCCTGTTATACTCCAGTCAAAATTGGTTGCCTCAATTGGCTGCCTCAATTCAACCCAGCTTATTGTTCTTTAATCAGCTGCTTTGTAGCACCACCTCTCTGAAGGTGAGTTACAGTCCACCAGATTTATCAAATGCTGTTTCAACACATTGGGAATCAAATTAGGCTGCATACTTTCTCCATTTTGGTTTAATGTTTATATCACTGTCCTGGTGGATCATCTAAGTACCCTGAATTTTCATCCTCCTAAGACAGCAGACAAGCATGTGCCTATTTGCCTCTATGCACATGATGCAGTGATTCTTAGAAGAGTCTTACGTACTACAGTACAGCACTATAAGAAAGATCAATTATGGCAAAACTGTTGTGTTTGCAAAGAGATGAAAAAGGGTGATTATGAGTCAGCTGTCAAATTATTTAACACTAAATCAGTAGCACAGTTCCTGTATGGAATACCACTGGGTCCTTTCTCCAGCTTTGCCCCTCTTGAGCTTGTTCAATCTAAATTTCTTACAATACTACTTTGGTTTACCCACTGTGTTTGTAATGCTTTCGCATGACAAGAGATAGATATAATGAAAACAAAAGCTAGAGTTTAGTTAGGTATATTAAGATACTGGCTTACACTCTGCTTTTTTCTTGTGGGCCTTGCCCCTTTGACACAAACAGATTGTTTTCAAACCAAGTGGAAGTGATCTCTCATATTAAAACTGTCCTTACATCAAACAGAAATTTCTCTACTGTAGAATGGTTATGCCTCCATACAACTATTAAGTGAAAATTGAGCTACATAACCATATAATTTCACAGTTACATACAGTATCTTATAGGAACATAAACAAGCCATAAAAGTGCTACCTTGTTTTTCTTTGAGTGGAAGCCAGAAAATACTGTCCTTACTGGAATGGTGGCATGCAGATGCATGAGGATGATCTATGATATGATCTTGATCTAATGAAAAAGAAAAAAAAAACTCTTACATTTCAATATCACATTCAAGAAAGAGAATTCACTAAAGATTGAAATGATCAAAAAATATTTTAATGTAGGAACTATGAATGCTCTTCAAAGTATTCTTTGAAACAGGAATTGACAGTTTGTTAAAAGGTCTTTTTGCATTTTAATGTATACTTTACATGCCAGAATGACTATAAATATTCATAGAGTCATATTAACATTCTTTGAAATAATGTATAAATAATTTCTTTTGTTTACTACCCCACAAAAAATCCATTTTGGAAAAGGGCTGAGTTAGAGGTTTTGCTACTTAAAACAATGCTTATAATTTAAAAGAAATTATGATCTGCAATGAAAACATAATCAGACCAAGATTTACTTTTAGTAATTCTTCATTTTATAATTTCTTTCTGCAATAAATTTTCTGAAGATTAGTGATGTTCTCCTGATTCAACAAGTCTCTGAATATAGTTCAATGCTAAAATGATTTTTTTAATATCAGATGACAGAAAAATACAGTAATAGAAAGGGATAAATGCTACTGCTGGAGCAGTAGAAAGCAATAAATGCTGCTGCTTTAGAGAGAAAATAAGACCGGTTGATTTTAAAAAAAGGAAAATATAGATATGCTTATCAGGTATTGCAAATTCCTAATATTTGAATATTATCATCTATTTATTTATTTATAAAATATACATGCCATTTCAATTGATTGACTCTTAACAATCCAATGCAATAAATAGATTTAAGAATAAAACAAAACATATATTGACAACTCAGTATTACAATCAGAAGAGTTAAATTTCATGTGAGAAAGAGTAGCTTCTGATCAGATAGGAGCTGGCCACTTACAATATGGCTATTAAACCAAAGCAGTGGCAGCTATGTGGAACCCTAGGGACACATGTGGCCTAGAATCATATAGCCCATGGCATAACTTCAAGTAATGAGTTCAGAACTCTGTAAAGAGTATTCTGCTGACTCCCCAGTGGTTTCTTGGGTATGGATTGTGACAGAGCCAGAGCTGTCAGGAGGAGAAAGAAATGGAAAAGAAAGTAGAAGAAAGTGAGACCAAAAAAAAAAAAAAAAGGAATTGCCCATTCCAAAATACAATCTGAGGCCCTACTTATGACTGGCATGCAGACATCTAACATAAGGATTCTTAAAATTTGCAATACCATGACTTCCTAACATGGTGAAATAAATAAAACTATCTAGTGATTTCACTGGGGTGAAGGTTGGGCAAAAAACCCACATCACTTTTAATAATTGTTTTTTGTCTACATAGCAAGTAAAAACAATCATAAGAGCTTTACATTTTACAAAATAAAACCTTTTTATAAAAAAGAAACCATATTTTTAATAGAAAAAATAAAGTTGCTTTATCTTGCATATTCCTGAAATCTGGGATAAATGTTGAATACGGCCCCTCACATTCACTAAAGTTGAGAAGAAGAAAAAAATAGAATTTCCTTGCTTTAAATAAGTTTCTGTTAAGCCGCTTTTAAAATGTTGCAGCTTGCAAAACACTGGCAGGCTGGAAGTTGCTTTTGGCACTCCCTCTCCCAGTACAGCTGCACTGAGATAAAATCACAACTTACCACTAGGTACTAGAAACATAGAAAGGGAGATGCCAGAAGCTCAAGCTGGTTTTAGAAAAGGCTGAGGAACAATAGAATTATTGCTGATGCATTTTGGATAATTAGAAAAACAAAGAAACCAAAAAGAAGTCAATATGTGATTTGTATTGTTTCATATTCAAAGGCCCTTGACTGTATTGTTTGTGTCAAGATGTAGAATGTTCTTCTGAAAATGGGAATCCCAGAACATCTGGATGGAACATGGAGAAACAGACTCATTCCAGATTGGGAAAGGAGTGAGATAAAGCTGTTTATTCTCTCCTTATTTATTCAACATATATTCTGAGTACATATAGAGGGAGGCTGAATTGAAACAAGATGGGCATGGTTTTAAACTGGAAGAGGAAACATAGACAACCTGAACTATGCTAACAGTATTTCTCTGATAATTACTATAGCTGAAAAGGCAAATGATCTGCAAATTCTGGTAATGAAAGTCAAGGAAGACAGTGAAAAAATAGGGTTAACATTAAATATAAAGAAGACCAAACTAATAGCAACAGGTACAACAACCAGCCTTAGAACTGACAATGAAGATAATTAAGTGATAGATAGGTTCTGCCTTCCTATTATCAACAGTAAAGGAACCAGCAGTCAGAAAATATGTCACAGACTAGCACTTGGTAGACTACCAATGAAAGTCTCAGAAGAGAGATTCAGATGCTATGACTATCTATACCTACAAAGATCAGAATGGTGCAGGCAATGAGTTTCCCTGTGACACTCTATGGAAGCAAAATCTGGCCTTTGAAGAAGCATGTATTGATGCTTTTGAACTTTGGTAATGGAGAAGACTCCTGAGAATACCAAGATATTCTTGGATACTGGATATCCAAGAAAACAAATAAATAGATCATAGAACAAATCAGAGTTTTCACTGGGGGCACAAATGATTAAGCTCAAATTATACTTTGGACATATTATATGAAGATCTAGCTCTCTAAAGAAGTGCTGGGGAAGGGGGAAGGAAACAGCATATACTCCTTACACAAAAGAGTATGTGATGAGTATACAGTGGATGTATACTGTAGGATGGAAGTCTTTTTATTGAAAGCTATGGACCGTAACCACCATGCCAGTCCAGCGCAGGTTGATAGTTTTTTGTTTTTGTTTTTTTTACTCCACAGTCTAGAGCTGAGACTGACCAAAGTCACTCAGCCAGCTTCCATGCCAGAGGAAGAATTAGAGATTCCACAGCACGATTCTTACCACCCACTCCTTTGCAATTGCATAGCCAGCCATTCTTAATGGAAACTGGCATGGGCTAACCCACTCTCTTCCCCCCCAAAAAAATCTCAATGCACTCCATTCCTAAATTGTGACAATCTATGGAAAAAAATATTCTGAAAATTCCTTCCTTAAGGTGAACCCTGTAAGATTGAAAAATGGGTGAAAAAACAACCTCAGGGACTGAAGGGTTAGCTAAAGAAAAAAAATCCCCATCCGTAATACAAACAATATATGCTTGCACATTACTGCATTAAGAGAGGACGGGTGGAAGCCTCACACTGACAAAGAAAGGAGAAGAAGCGTCACTGAGCTTTTCTTAGGTATGCTCCTCCCACTCCCAGTGTACTGCCTATGTTAGCACCACTCAACAGGGCACAAGGTGAACTTCTGGGTGGAGGCCAATAAGCATTTCATGAAACCAGGACTGGATTCTTTATTCAGAAAGTCTCAACAGTCAAAGAAGAAAAATTGTAATTGTAATTGTAACCATTGTATTTAAAAATATTCTGTGAACTTGCAACAAATAGAATTCAGTACTAGAAACCACTATGTTTAAAGAACTTTTAAACACCAATCACATTTTACCATAAAATGTTTTCTTAAAAAGAAAAACAGATTTCTATGAAATATTTTGTCAGCCCTATTATATATATAATACATATAAAATTTTAATTACAGTAATAAAAACTAATACAAACTAAACTCAGAGAAAGAAAGTAAAAAGACAGAATAAAAAG